GCCCCTGAGCCTCTGACCTATACCCCAGTTCTGTATGCACAAATAAATAAATAAATCAAAAAAAAAAAAAAAGAGCCAATTAACATTTTGAAACTTGAGTTCTTAGTTCAATTTCTAATACAGTTAATGTGAACAGATAGTATCCATATAAATAAATTCTGTTAAGACATTTAAGAGTATAGATTAGATACCTTTAAGAGTATAAATTAATTCTAAGACCAAATTAGTTTGATAACAACCTAAACAACACTCCATTGAAATCAGTACTATGATCTGTGTAACCATCCATATATTACAACTGTGTTAAAGGGTATGGCTATTGTTCTGTATACTATTGCTATACACCTGACATTAGACATTTTTCAAACCCAAAGCACTTTAAAGAAAAGAGTGAACCTTAATATAAGCAAATTTTAAAATATCATTTTAGAGGTCAGGGATCCCAGGAAAGAATGTAAGCCATGTATGACAAAGAATTTAATAGTATTACAAATGTACACACAACCTCTCTGAAGGGCTGGGTTGGAAAGGTGCTAATGTAAATAACTTTGGAAATAAGCAGAATCTATAATACTAAGGGCAAAATAAAATGCATAAATATTGTAGTTTTCCATCTTGTACTACTATACATATAATGGGATTCAGCAATAAAATAATAATAGATGTAGACAGTCACATTTCAGTGTTGGAGTGGGAGTTCACAGATAAACTAGGACAGTAGGCTAGATCCATGTAAATGATTAGAATTGGAAACTTCAATATGAACTCATGTTTCGTTTAATATAGATGGTTACACAAATAAATTCTAAGTATGGTTATATAAAGGTTAGCATATACATATATATTTCCTAGCTACATGAGCTGAGAGGGCCTATAAGCAAAGGCATCCCAGTGACGTTGGCCCAGACCTTGGTTTCTAATCCATTTTTCAATAAAAGGAATCAGGACCTTCAAGAAACAACTGATTCTGGGACTATAGCAGGACACATGTCACTTGTAACATCTTGTAGTACCAGAAGACAAGAAAATTCTATAAAAATAAGATGAAAATTAGCCACACTGTAGGGGCACATCATGAGCCAACTCAAATTGGTCCCAATGGCCAATCCTGGAACAATGTAAGTAAATAAAAATATTACTGAATTATAACCCAAAGTATAAAATCAGTATCAATGAGTCCATAAAGATAAAAATGATGACATAAATAAGTGGGGGAAAAGAGATAAATCTCCCTTGCAGAACAATTTCAAATAATATTGTAGATATTATTTTCACAAACAGGGGGGTCACAATTTCTCACTTCTTATGTATGGGCTCTACACAGTGATTTTCTGTCATGGAGTAGAATAAAGAAGGATGGGGGAAGGGGGGAGGGAATAATTTACAGCAAAGAAACTAGATAACACTGTCAGCTCCATATGATCAAGTTCAATTAGAAATCATGTTGATAACATGTGCACTCTCCATTATGATGTAATTAAAAAAAAAAAAAACCCTCTATGGTCTTCCTCTCATACGTCCTAATTCCAGGATTATATAAGGACAAAAAAATAAAAATCAGTCAATAATTTCAACAAAAGGCATTCTACAGAATACTACAGAGACCTACAATAACCAAAAGAGGGCAGCCTGAGAAGCTGCCACATCCAAAAGGGCCCTAAAGAGATACAACAAGTAAATATAAAGTGGTATCTTGGAAGACATGATGAAACAGAAGACATAACGTGAAAACTAAGGAAATATGAATAAACTATGGATTCTAGTTTAAACATCTTCTAGTACCAGAAAACAAGAAAGTTCTATAAAAATAAGATGAAAATCAGCCACACTGATGTGGGCCTCCCTGTTGGCTCAGGGATTAAAGACAGAACTATAAAGCTATCAGCAGCCACTGCAGCATGAGTTTGATTCCTGGCCAGGGAACTGACCAACATGGAGCCAAAAGACTTCTCCTGTCTTGCCTGTGGCTCCCCTCAGCGATGTATTTCAGTCAGTCCACCTGTTCTGCTCCCCACTGTCTCTGGTGAATCCTTTACCACCCACACCTCTGGCCCAAACTCCAGCTCCTGTATGCATAAATAAAATAAATCTTAAAAACAATAACAATAATTCACTAATTGTGGTAAATGTACCAAACATAAGATGTTAATTATAGTGGGGGGGGCTATGGGAAGTCTTTGTGCTACCCTGTCAATTTTTTTCTGTGAAAACTTTCCTAAAAAATGTATTTTGAGGGCTCTCCTAGTGGTGCAATGGATTAAAACACAGCACCATGAAGCTCTCTGAAGCCACCACTACAGGAGTTTAATCCCTGGACAGGGAGTTTAATCCCTGCCACAAGGAGTGGCAGACCTCTGCTGACCTTCCTACTGCTCCCCTCAACAGTGTATTTTATTCAATCTGCCCATTTTGCTCCCCTCTGTCTCTGGTGAATCCTCTTATTCTCTATACCTCTGGCCTGTACCCCAGTTCTGTAAGCAGAAATAAATAAATCTTAAAAAAAATTTTTTTTGAAAAGTACATTTAAGTATCACCTTGGAATTAGACACATATACAAAGACAGTAAAAATTGTTGGTTATATGAAAATAAACACAATTCCTTCTAATTTAGAAACCACTTGCAATGAAAAACCTTGGAATTACCACAATTTAGTTTCACTACATAGTGTATAAACATTTAAACAAAGTTTAATAATGGTTTTTAACCCTACCATTTTTTTCTCCCATCTTCTGGCGTTGTTTATAAACATCAAAGTCTTCAGAATTAAATTTATCAAGGAGCTGAATCACTTTGATTGGAGAATATACCTGGAATCAATTGAAGTCTCTAAGAAATTTGTAGTCTTCAGAGAAAATACATCATGTATACCATTCTACAACCAATATTCTTTGATACCTGAATATTTAAGTGCTGGTTGAAGAAACTTTTAGAACTGACCACTAGTCCAAATTAATGATAAGTCCATCCATCTTCATCAGGTGAATATTTATAGTTGTACCAGATGACTGACAGAATCTTTAAAAATAAAAACCAATGCCATCTTTTGATCCATGAATGAATGAAATACTCTGTAGGGAAACAATAAAGAATGTTACATCTCTGTAAAGAATAAATTGTAAAAATGATACTGCTGTAACAACAGCTCTAACTTTTAAAGTAGCACTAGCATGAAATATAAATACATATTGATTGGAAAATGTACAAATTAGCAAAATTAAGAATCAACCACATTTATTTGTGAATTAAACTATCCCCATTTTATATAAACTTTATGAACTTTTCAATGAGGACAAAAATGCTAACTCTATTTCAAAGGGTTGTTGTGAGGATAAGGCTGAGTAACTTAGTGTAGTGCCTGATACATACAAAGAACTCAACATGAAAATATTACTCCTACATTATAACAAAGTTGGAATTTAGTAAATATCACTTTTATAATTTTTCACTGACAACATTCTGAATGTCTTGTATGTAATTAACATTTTTCTATAGTATGATTTTTAAGTCACAATACAATGTATTTTGGTCAATAACCTTTAAAGAATTTTAATAATTAAATTTTAATAAATTATAAATTACTACTGTAAAGAAACTTCCATATTGGACATTTAGATAGTTTCCATTTGCCAGTGTTTTAAATAATGCTAGAGCACACTTTATAAAATATCTGATTCTTTCCTGAAGATAAACACCTAGAGGGGGAACTAAAAGAAATTAGCAATTCAGTCTCCAATGTTAGTCAACATAGGCTAATTTTCCCATCCCGACACGAAGCCCACAGAAATGCTTGAACTTTTTTTTTTTTTAATTTTTTTTGAAGATTTATTTATTTATTCGTACAGAACTGGGGTACAGGCCAGAGATGAGGAGAGGATTCACCAGAGACAGAGCGGGAAGCAGAATAGGCAGATCGACAAAGTACACTGCTGAGGGGAGCAGCGGGCGGGTCAGGAGAGGTCTGCCTCGCCATGTGGTCACCTCCGCCGGCAGGCGGGAATCGAACTAATGCGGAAGTGGCTTTAGCTTCTTAGTGCAGTGCTTTAACTCGCTGCGCCACTAGGGAGGGCCAGAAATGCTTGAACTTTTTTTACAATTAAAAATACACAGTCATGCTGGATTAGAAAGATGTGGTACATATATACAATGGAATATTACTCAGCAACCAAAAAAGAGAAACACATGTCTTTTGCAGCAACTTGGATGGAGCTGGAAAAGATCATGCTTAGTGAGATAAGCCAGAAAGAGAAAGAAAAATACCGGATGGTTTCACTCATAGCAGGAGTATAATGGACCAGGCGAGAAAATAACAAAAATAATGAACAACCATATACCAGAGACATTCTGTGGGGGCGGAGTGGGGAATGGGATCAAAAAGGGGGGGGGGGAGGGAGGGAAATGCATGGGACTAGGGTGGTGGCACAGGGGTGATCTGGTGATGGGAAACCCGCGGGGATTACAATCGAGATGAAAAAAAAAATGTGCAAAATGATGTAAAAATAAAAAAAAAATACACAGTCATGTTAAAAACAAAAAGGGAATTCTCTATGGATCAAGACTGTGAGACCTCTCTGGGGAAAGGGAACACATTGGTAGCTGCAGGGACAATGTCAGCCATCATCACATGGCCAGAGGAAAAAGCAAGTTGAATCAAAAGACTGGAGTGCACAGCAGAAAATGATCAAACATGTGAGGAAAATTATAATACAACATTTAACAAGACTACCAAGGTAATGGACTTATATTTTTAGAAAAGAATTAACATTGTCCTGAAAATAAATTTTTAAACTAATGTTAATCTAGTTAATATCCTAAGAGAGCTGAAGGAAATCTCACCTATGAAAAATAATCAATTAGATATCTTGGCTATAAAAACAGTGTTTGAAGAAACTCAAAATATGACTGAATAATAGCATAGATTTGGATGAAGAGCCAGGTAGTAGCAAACTGGATGATTACATTGATTCACTCAGAATGCAGAGCAGTGAAATAATCAGAGGGATAAAATAGAACAAAGAGGCAGCAATAATGACCAAGAATTTCTTAGAGCTGGAAAAGATTTAAATTCACTGAGTACCAAGCAAGAAAAAATTTTAAACTTTTAAAAAAGATTTTATTTATTTATGCATACAGAAATGGGGTACAGGCCAGAGGTGCAGCAGCAAGAGGATTCACCAGAAACAGTGGGGAGCAGAACAGGCAGATCTACAAAGTACACTGCTGAGGGGAGCAGCAATAAAGCTGGCCATGTGTATCACTCTGGGGCAGGGATGGAACTCACATTAAAGTTACCCCAGCCTGGGTTAGCTTCAAAGTGCAGCGCTCCAACCCACTGCACCCACCAGGGAGGACTGCAAGATAAAATTCTTAATTCACATCACAAGACAAACTATCCCCAAGCATCAAAACATCAAGAATAAAGAAAAATCTAAGATGCTTCCAAAAAAAAATCTAGATTATCTCAAAGAAATGCATATCAGACTGAGATTCAGACTCAAGTATTAGAAATGTCAGATGCAAAATGTTAAGGGAAAATAAGTTTGAACCCAGAATACTATTTCAGCCAAACCATTTTTCAACAATGAGGGTATAAGAAATATTCAAGAAGTGACTTTCTGAAGAAACAGATGTATTTCATGAAAACTAACCTAGAAGGAAGTACTAAGATACAAGACACAATAGTGATTACAGATTAAAAATACATTTTAATAATAAAACACAAATGCTAGAAGATATAACCACAGGGAAAAAAAAATTTTTTTTAAGAGGGGAATAAGGGACTATTGCAAGATCAGAGAAAGTATGCTAAGTTATTTGTAGAGAGAATACTGATAATAATAAAATTTAAACTTTGTTAGGGATTATAAATTGAAGAACTGTTGAAAATGTAAAGACAGTCTACAAAAAACATGATAAAGAAAATTTGGAGTTAACCTCAATTAAAATGGAAAAATAAGATATAAAGAGACGTCACAAAAAAATTACTAATTTAAGACAGACCCCCCTCAGATGAGATTGCATGCAGAATCTAGCAATTTTAAAATATTTTTAAAATATTTTAAAAATAAGAGATTCATTAAAAGACAAATGTTATTAAAGTGTGAAGTGAAGGGTTGTGAAAAGACCTAACTGCAAACGCAAGAAACTTTCAGATCAAACAAAAACAGAATTTACCAAAAATTTACCTTATTGAAATTGACTTAATACCAAGCAGGTTCAAGAAATTAACCACCCCAACTAAAGGGTAAGTTTAAAAAAGAAATTAGAACAGTTAAAGATCTTACAGAGCTGCATGTCAACACATGCCTACCTCTAATTTCAGTGTAACACATCCATATAGTTTGAAAGATGAATTCTACCAACTTGCAAGGAATGAATTAATTTCTATAATATACAAACTTTTTCAGAGCAGAAAAAAGTAAGAGGAGGCTATTCAAGGCCAACACACTTCTGATACAAAAGCCAAAAAGGTAAATATATGCTGCTATAGATAAAAGTAAGCAACAAATAAGGTTATTCCAGGAATACCAAAAAAGTCTTAACATTGGAGAGTTTCTCAGTGTAGATGCTACAAATGGAGGAAACTATCAGATCAGATGCAGCCAAACAAAACAAAAATGTAGGGAAAATCAACAACTACTGGGGAAGGTAGAAAGAGGGACCTTTAGCAAACTCAGAATAAAACAGAACTTCTTAAATCTGATAAAGACTATCTACTAAACCTAGAAGTACGTATCATACTTAATGATAAAAACAATAGATGCATTTTCACTGAAGTCAGGCACAGGATATGACACCTGCCACTACTGCTCTTATTCAGTATTGTACTGAAGTCTTAGAGAAATGCAGTGAAATAAAGAACACAAAAGATGGCAATGGAGGAAAAAAATAAAACAGTTAAAAGCTAGAGTTAGGTTTATAACATTTTAACAAAAGAAACAAAAGACATTTTTTCTGTATCAAATAGGACATAGAATTACTTAAATTGTTAAGAAAAAGATAAGTCAACAGAAAAATGGATAATTTTTAAAAGAAATCATACTTATTTTTCTACATCTCAGTGTTAGTCTACGCTGTAGGGATACTGAACACTCATAACTATTTGTGGGATGTGTGTATTTATTAAAGTATTTTAGAAACAAATTTGGCAAGATCTGTTGATCTTACTAAACTTGTAATTTAAAAATCATGCAATTCCAATTTTTGATATATATCTTGAGAAATACCACATGTGCACAGGATAACACATAAAAAGGATGCATTTGCAGTTTTGCTTGTTAAGGTGAAAACCTGGAAACGACCTAATGTCCATTAAAAGGAGAAGTAAAATGTGCATGTATTGGCCCTCCCTGCTGGCCTAGCAGGTTAAAACACAGCACTAAGAAGCAAAAGCCACTTCAGCACGAGTTTGATTCCCACCCCAGAGGTGACCACATGGTGCAGCAGACCTCTCCTGACCCGCCCACTGCTCCCCTCAGCAGTGTACCTCCTCGATTTGCCTGTTGTGCTCCCCACTCTGTCTCTGGTGAATCCTCTCACCTTCCCTGCACTTCTGGCCTATATCCCAGTTCTGTATGCATAACTAATAAATCTTAAAAAAAAAAGTGCACATTATCATAGCATATATCAAATAGAATTTAATAAGACAACCAGTGAAAGGGACAAAGATAAATATTTTACATAACAGAACAATTCAATCATACACTGGAACACTAAACAGTGTCAAATGAGGCAGAAGTCATATGTAAACACTAAAAGCAGTATCAACTGAATAAAACCACAAAGTTAAACAGAATATTATTTCCATTTTAAAAAATTACAAATGCCTGGCTGCATCCATATAGAATATGTAAGTATAAGAGACGTGAAGGCTCTTGCATCAAAGCCTTAATTTAAGTACATGATAGGAACAAGTGAAGGGGGAATTCAGGGATTACAGATTTGGTCTGTGAAGGCAAAAGAAAAATGTAAAAAGTGTACTTGATTTAAAAATTAAGTATATTATTTTCAAAGTGGGATTGTCCAATTTCAAGCTTTCCGGAGCATCTTGTCAAAACTGCTTTGCATGCAAACTGTCAATTTACACTGCTACATGCAACTTGTAAGTACACTATTACCTTATTTAGAAAAAAAAGTTAAGTACTCTTTTCTTACATCCTTGGTCATTTTGACAATACAGGATTACTCTCCCTGGGTGTAATACCTTCTTTTTAAAGAAAGCCCTTACTACTCTTGTTTACATCTTCTGAAAATTTATAAGTATCTGAAGTAAAAGTAAAGGCTGTTTACTGAAGAACATATTTGCAAAATGCATAAAGACAAACACTTAAGTCATTCATAGTATCATCATTTAGAGCTAACCATTGGTAATATTTTGCTGTGTAACTGTTCACTTTTCCCCTCTTTCTCATTTTGGCAGAGTCATCCGTTTTTATGTCAGCTCGTTTTCGTTTTTAAAAATAGCTCTTAGGAAGCTGTTCTATTGTCTGTTTCTCGTGTTTTAATCATAACGGTAATGAACACTGAGTATAAATCATGTGTGAGGCACGCTTTTAAATACTTTGTGCATATCAAACTGCACAGCAGCAATCAGGTGGGATAAATTAGCGTGCCTATATTTCTAAAGAAACTAAAGCAGGTTACACTGTTAAGTGGCAGAGACCAAAAAAAAAAAAAAAAGGAACCCGGAGGCCTGGCTTTGAGACCGCGGTTTTTTGTTCCACTCTGCATCCTCAGTTATCTTTTGTCCTAGCCTCACTCATTAATACATACAATATTCATCGCAGGTGTCCACATACCTAAGAGAATTAATTACATAGTGTTCTTAATCTAAATTACTAATTGGGTTGTGGATAATGAGAATCAGGAGCTCAGAGGATCTAATCTCAATTCCGTCATCTTGGAAACATGATTCTACTTATGTAGACAGGGCTTGTGTACTCTTACCTGTGAAATGGGTCAGTGGCTAAACCTTCTAGTTCTGCTTCTGGGTTTTACACTGCAGTCCATGTCCTGCACCCCCATTTAACAGGCTCGGGCTCCCCGCTGCTTAGGAAGTGCTTCACGTTACGGTGTGCACTGAAAATGAGGGTGAAAACTGCCCGCGATCCCTTCTCCAGCCCCGCTGCACGAGAGTGAGGGACGGTGTATAAAGGCTGGGTTTCACCGGGTCAAGGGCTCCACCGTGTTCTTGGAGCCTCACTGGAGGAGCTGTCGGAGGGCCACCACGGCCGTGCCTCCGCTCCACTGCGTTTTCCAAGCCGCCCGCCAAACCCGAAGGCGGCGAGCCTCCCGCTTCGCTGGCAAGGATGGGTTCCCCGTGCGGGTCGGGCTCCTCTCCGACACCACGCCACCGCACCCTGCTGTCCTCAGAGTCTCCAGAACGGGAAGTAGCACTTTACCGTTTATTAGACCTCACCTCAGCAACAACAACCTCACCTCGCCTCGGCCGCGGAGAGAGCACCGCCCAATAGATAACGCCGAGGCCTACCTAAAGCCAACCCTAAGCAGGAGGACACCACAGGCCCCCACCACCTGGCGTCGAGCCCATTGGTCGCACACCCCACAGAGTCCACGCCTCAGAGGCTCGGTGCGCTCACCGCCCGCAACGCGGCAGCGCCCGAGCGCGCCGCCTTCTGATTGGTTGTCAGCGATCCCGTGTTGTCTCGCGCTCTCTAGCTGAACCAATGGGGATGCCCGCAGTCGGAAGGTCGGCGTCGCTGGAGTGGTGGCGCAGCTGTTTCCTCCGGTAGGTGTCTCGCTGCCATGTTGTGTGTGGCTTCATGGCGTTGGAAAATTACTTGGTGGTTGGCTGTTTGTGTAGAAGGGTCCTGAGGCTGCCTTAGAGGAGAGGAGGGGCCTAAGGCAACCGACCCGGCGTCTTCTCATTTCCCACTTCCCGGGGAAGGGAAAGAGTTGCTGGCCCTCGTCTCAACCCCGGCTAAGGAACTTAGGAATGATTGGTGGGGATCCCAGGTTTTGCTTTGTTCTTCATTGCGGGGGCTTAGCGGAGACTCTGTTGTCTTAATCCTGATTTCTTGGGGAGCCATTCCAATAATGTTTGCTTCAGAAAGATTCTGATCTGGAAGTTGGCTAATGGACTGCCTGACTGAGAAAGGAACGAGGCTGGAAATGAAAGGGGAAAGAGGGAGAGTCCCCACCACTGTCCTCAGGTTAGAAAGAAACATCTTCATTTTCTGTCGTTTGCGGGGAGCGGCAATTTAGCGGCTGCTCAATTGTTTGCTCCTCGGTAGTCGCTAAGGTCAGCTTTTGGTGGTAGCGGGCGTCGGGCTCTGCGTTTGAGCAGTTTTAAATAATGCGCACCCAGCATTACTGCGTGGCCTTTAAAACCTAGAAAGTGGTCGTCTTTGCAGAAACAGTGCAAATGGACTAAATTTTTGTCAGTTTTTAATTTCCTGGGTACCCACCTGTTCAACTTTTAGAAATGTGCGGGTCTGCTGTGATACTTGGTTGCTTCGTCCTGGGGAGAGAGGTGGCTTTTGTAAGGGAAAGTATCTTCTGTGCTCTTTGGGGGGGGGGGGGGGCGGGGGGTGAGAAAAAGGAGACCAGAATTACCTCCATAGTTCCTCATTTTTAAGTGTCCAAGTGAAAGTATGCATTGTCTTTTACTTGAGGGGAAACCTAGCCGATAAAAGGCTAGTACTGTGATTAAGGATCCATTTTAGCACGCTTGAAAAGTAAAGATACTTAATCCTTTATTGTTTGAATCTAGTTTCCAGTTATTCAGGGTTAACTGGCGACCTAAACAACTTAACAGTACCATGCAGATATTTTGGCAGGAAAACAAACAACAGTAAAATAATTGAGTAATGAAGACTTAAATTATTTACTTTTTCATCCACCAGTCTTTAAAATCTAACTTATAAGAGTTCAAGTATCAAATTTATAGTGAGTTGATATCAGGCTGTGGTACTTGTAGTAAGCTTACTAGCTTTCATTAAGTAGATCAGTGTTCAAAATAAACCAATGATACATACATAGTAGTTGCTCAGTTAATGTCGGCTAAAACTTTTGTAGAGGCTTCTCATATAATAGTGCCTGCCATATATTCATCAGTATAGTTATTAAGTGGATAAAAGAATTCAGTAATTAGGAGGTAAGAGTGTGCTTTTTTGAAAACTTAACTGAAAAATCAGTTTTAATCTGCTTTCTAGAAAACTCGATTTACAGTTTGGAGTAAATTTATTTCTTGCTTCCTAATTATTCATTCAAATAATATTAAGGACCACTTCATTGTCTTTTCTTTGGGAGTCTGTTTATGAGATGCTACTATAGAGAAATTTAGATAATGAAGATGAGTGCTCAAGTAGTACTCTATTTGCCACTGTTTTCTTCAAAACATGCAATCTACCAACTTAACATCAGTGCCTTAGATCCCTTCTGCTAGAGGAAATTTAGTTTCTTTTTAGTACAACTCAGTGAAATAAACTGCAACTTTAAATTTTTTGTATTGCATAAATATGTTCTATAAATTCTAAGTAGGTAATTTTTTAACAAGATATATTTATTTATGCATACAGAACTGGGATGCAGGCCATAGGTGTGGGGGAGGGGGCGGAGCAGTGAGAGGATTCACCAGAGACAGAGCAGGGAGCAGAACATGCAGATCTACTGAAATACACTGCTGAGGGGAGCAATGGGCGGGTCAGGAAAGGTCTGCCATGGCATGTGGGTCACCTCCCTGGCAAGGGATCGAACTTGCACTTAGGAACTTGCACTTAGAATGACTGTAGCTTCATGGTGCTGCACTTTAATGCCATTGTGCTACCAGTGAGAGCCCTATGGTAATTTTTAGGGATAGTTATCCTCAGGTTTTTCTTTGAATTCTGTATATTTTACAATATATAAACTTAAGAAGATCTTTAGAAGATTTCATGTCATTTTTGTGTGAGAAATGTTAAATAAGTAAAAATAATTTTTAACTTAGATTGGTATGAGATTGTCATTGAAATCTCATTCAATAAAATTTTTCTCATTATAAAGGGATGCAAACTGATTATATGAAAAATTTTTAACAATTTGAAGTAAATGTGATATTTTGTGACAATATAAATTAAGATCAAATTCATTAAAAATTCACTGTTCTCAGAATTTGTTTGATTCTTGCATTTGGTATTTTAAAAACCTAAGTAATTTAGGCACTTTGCTATAAAAAAGCACATCAAAACTACCATAGTTTCCTCACCACCACCCTCCCTCAGTGCCAAAAACCAAATTGTATCTATTTTCTCTTTTTATAAGTATTGTGAAATACCTTACTTTTTGCTTTGTAATAATTTTGATCCTATAAATGTCAACTTGGGGGAACATTTTGAAATTAATTTGCAGAAATATTGATTGAATGCCTGAATAACGAGGGTTTCCATTAAGCACTGAAAATGCTTATGAAATGAACATGTGGAACATAATCCTAGAATATTATATATTTAAATTTTTTAAGATGGAGAAATTGAAATACATTTACTGACTTATAATCTCATTTGTTCCTGTAAGCTATTTCTGTAAGTGAGCCCTCTTTTTTTGTTCTTAAGTTTTTTGTGCTGAATTTGTATGTGACTCTCCCTCTTTCATGTTTCTAATGTTCAACTATATAGGCATCTTTTGAGTTGCTCACGTTTAATATTTCTAATTCTTATCTCTCCCTTTGTCCAACTGTCTAACTTCAGCCTCCAGAATGTCTGTCCTCTTCATTTTCTCTCACTGCCACTGTCCTAATGGATACTCTCCCCTTTTCTTAAAAACATTTTATATACCATTGTATTGGCAAAGCTTGGATTCCTCTACTTGGAATTTCCATTGACTAAGATAATAGATTTTGTGACCTTATAGTGAAACTGAAAGAAAACTTAAATTTTTTTTTAAGTAAAAGTTTATTTCTTTACTATATATTAAAGTCTGAGCTGATCAGGTGTCATTGCTACATAAAGATGTCAGGTGCTCTAAGCTCTTTCTGTTTAACCTCTTCATCATGCAATTCCATATGGTAGACCAAACTAACAGGTTTTAAAGAATATACCTTAGAGCAGGGTATCACTAGTAGTGTACTATCACTATTTTAAAAGTATATGTATATTGCTGGAAAAATAAGTATAATAAAATATTGATGATTGTTGAACAAAATCATAAAAGCTTGTCAAGGCTGTGAATTAAGAGATTTTAGTGTGGAAAGCCATTTGACAGAATGGCAGAGGAGAAGTGAGATATGAAATTACATAGAAAGACAGCTATTTTTGGCCATGTTATAGATCAGGCACTGTGTTAGGTACTACATAAATGTATATATATCTTTTGGCCTTTAAAGCTATCCTTGATATTTTCCCAAGAGGTTCAGAGAAATTAAGTAGTTTGTTTCATATTAGACAATTACTAAATGGAAAGTTGACGTTTAAACCCAGATCTATATGATTCTGAAGACTCTGCTTTTTCTACTCTGTTATTGCAGGATATACATCATATATTAGAACAACAACACCAGGAACTAAATGTTCTGTTTCATCCTGTACTTGCTGCCCAGAAAGTAAATAAAGATGCTGACCTGCAGTCAGTGGTTTATATATTCTTCATGCAAGAGTAATGTGTTAAAGGAAAAAAGTGTAAGTTTTCTCTTTATTTCTAATGGGGAAATATAAACACATATACATATATTTATACAGATATGAAGATAAAAAATTTACAAACATTGTCATTAATTACTTGAAATTAAGAAGAGATTCAAGCTAACTATGAAAAGAAATATCAACTGCATGAGTTTCCATGATGCTATTAAAAGCAAAAAAAGAAAGAAAAAATTATAACTTCCCTTTGTGACACTTCAAAGCCCTTCTAAGTTTTGCCCAGCCATTTTATAAACATTGGCCTTTAAGATCCTAACTTAATTAAGTTGTTTTTCCTCCTGTGTACTGATAGAACACCAAGTTATCCTTTCACATTTCTGGTTTCACCTGATAAATTGTTTTCACTCAGTTCAATACTACTTTTTAAAAGGTCTCCCACTTGAAACAACTGAAATAAGGAAGGGGATTTTCCTGATTCTGTGTGATTTATGTGACTATTATGGAAATTTAGCTTGTAATTCTATATACTTGGTAATACATTGAACTTGCTATAAAGATTTTTTTAAAAGTTAATCTTGATGGTTTTTTTTTTTTATCAGAAACTGTGTTAATCTGACTTTGAAGAAAGTGGAGACAAATTAGAGATGATATACAACTGCTAAGGTAAGCTAATAAAATGATTCAATTAAGATTATAAATGCTCTTGATAGACTGATAGGTTACAGTAACACAATTAAAATCATCAGGAATAAATATGCAATCCAGGTTTGAATTTTACAAAACTGCAGAAATACTTAGTAGATTTCCATTTTTGGCAGTATGATAGATGAGATCTTTAATCCCTCTCTCCACTCAGTATATAAAATATTAGATTAAATATTTTTTTAAAAATCCTTCAAGATGAATAGATGAACCTGTAAAAAAAAATCTAAATATTGATATATTTCTCAATTTAAGAAAGAATTCCCCAAATTTCCTTTGGTTATGTAAACTGGCTATCTTCTTGACATTGTGTATGTTTCCTAATACGAATATTAATATAATTCAATTATTTTTGGTTTTTATTTATTGTTTAACTCTAAATGCATTTGACTTTGATAATTTATGAGATAGAGGAGCCAATTCTACCTGTGTCATTAATAAGAGGTTTATTTCCTGGGAAGGGCTCTCAAGATTGGGTAGAAGTTGCTTTTGACGTTTATAACTAAACTTTTTTCTTTAACGGTCTATTCCAGGAAGATTTAATCTTAATCCCCTATCTCTTCCATAGAGAGGGCAGAAGTGTCATTTTTTCCTTCCAGTAAATGCCCTTCTCCAGTCTTCCTTGTCCTGGCTAAACTGTTTAAGGTGGCACCTAAAACCTCATGAGTGAGATAGCCACTCTTGATTCTTTTTCATGTATATACTATTAAAACCTCTGAGTGACTTTTTCTCTTTTAAATATGTCTGATGCTTATTTGATTATTTGACAGCTTAGAAGAACCCAAACAGAGAGGTACAGGTCACCTCCCTGGCCCGGGTGAATTCAGGCTGTAGCAATGATAGCCCTGAGACTTAACCCTAGGCCCCCAGGGATCTCTGCAGAAGTTTAAGGATTTACTGAGCAATGCTTCCTTCTCCTCTCCAACCCTCCCATAAAAGAGGACTTTGTGAAGAAAGTTCCCTTTTGGCCACCCATTTTTTTTCCATTTTTACTTGGATGTTAAACTACAGTCTGATGACTGGGACTGCCAAACCATTTTTGATTGCCACATTCCAATGACCCCCACTACATCCTGGTAGTCATACCCTGAATATTCAATTTTCTTTCCTATGATGCCAGGATTTGTCTATATAGCCAATAAAAGAGAGAAGGGTGTTACTTTAAACACTAGACTATAAAAGATATTACAGTTTTCTTCTCTATCGCATTCTCTTCCTGCTTGCTGCTCTCAGAGAAGCTACCCTTATTGTGAGCATGGCTAGAAAAGACCCATGTAGCAAGTAACATATTACTACTAGGAGGTGGTTCTTCCAGACCCAGTCAAAACTTTAGACATGATTGCAGTCCTGGCTGAGGCTAACACTTGATGCAGAACCTACTTAGTAGCTTTCTGGATTCCTGACTTTCCAAAACTGTCTCCAATAACAAATGTTTTAAGCTCATAAGGTTTAAATAATTGTTAATGCAATTGATAACTCATGCAGATGCTGGTACCAGAAGTTGTCTGATATTGTAACAAATATTTTTTAAAGTAGGCATGGCTTTGAAGCTTCTTAGTGGGTGAAAAGTGGATAAAGTTTGAGGATAGGTTTAGTGAAAGACTACAGTGTTAAAGGAATGTTCAAACAATCTTACTGGTAAGAGGGTGGGTGGAGGGGGAAAGGAATTTGTAGTGTCGTAGTGAGGCTGAGACATAAGTGGGCTACTTGCCACTTGGAAGCCAAACATAAGAGACAGAAGGAGACAGTAAGGAAAGCTAGGTTTATTCAAGAAACCTATATTCTGAGGAGATGGTTGGATTCAGTTCCAAAGAAACCATCTCAAATCTTAGGGCTCAAGGTAAGGTTTTTATGAGTCTTGATTTAGAAGTGGGTTTCTGCTAGCCAGCATGACAGTTCAGGTTCCTGATGTTATCTTTAGTAGCTTTTCCACATTTTTGCAAGCTCTTGTGGTTATCCAGATGCCAATAAAACAGGTGCTCTGTGTCTCTGATTTATTTGTTAACAGAAATTTATCAGGAATGTGATTATATCCCTAAGTTTACTTGAGTCTTTCGGGGTTAGTGTTTTAAAGTTATAGCAGTGGGTAACTAGGGTGAGATCCTTTTTCTTTTATTGTATTTTATTCATATACCTACACTTTTGAGTAGCAAAAATTTTAGCAACCTCTAGTAATGTAGAAACTAGACCATGTACATAATGACCTAAGTTAGCTAGTAGCTAGGGAAATTTTTGACAGAGAATTGGAATTGCCACCTGGTTTTATTTTTGCTGCTTTTAGTACAATTTGAGAGGAGCAAGGTTCATAACACAAAGTCTGAAAAACTAAAGCAGCTGTAATAAGGAGTTTTGAAATATTGTTGATCTCTGTGGACAACCAATGATGCTAAAATTTAAAAGTCCCTTCTGAAGGAAGATCAGATTCAAGTTATTATAAGGAAAACTTGGTTTAAGATTGAAGCTGAGGGTGTCATTGTAAAATTCATTTTTTAATACTTAAGAAAGAAATAAGGTGCTGCCTTTGAGTACTTTTCAGTCAAATGAAAGACCAGCTAAAGACTTTAATGGTGTGACTGGCATCTATTAGGTTGAACTTTTTTTTAATTGATAGAATCCCAGTAAGATTCCAAGGAGACCCACAGGTTTTGAAGAGCATTATATTTTAGGGTACCTTGGTTTAAAGAACACCGTACATAGTGAAAAAGAAGGGTTAGTAACTCCAAATTTCTACAGCAGGAAACAGATTGAAAAGACTAAGTTAATCAAACATACTACTTGCAAGGAAAAGAAGAATAAATGATTCAGAGGTCTGAACCTAGAAGATAGTGAGTCCAGAGTAATGAGTCATTTCCTGATGGATAATAGGGCAGAGTCTTAAATAAGGGAGTTCCAGGATTTGTCTGACTGGATTTCAGTGGCCCCTATGGACTTTTCATTCCCCACATTTTGACCAGGTATGTGTGTAATGGTTATCTATACTTGACCCAAAAAATGGGCACATCAAATAATTTGTCCCTTTTTTCTCTTAGGATCTGCAGACTTTTTTGTAAAAAGTCAGATAGTAAATATTTAGGACTTATGGGCCACTTAGTCTCCATTGCAACTACTTGGCCTTTGTTTTCTGTGAAAAGTCTGTAAATAATATGTAAATAATGTATGTGGCCAGATATGTCTTAAATACTGGTTTACCAACTCCTTCTTTAGCTCCAGGTCTATAGAATGAGAAAAATTTTATCAGAAGTTACTGAAGGTATTATACCCAATGGACATTATCCACATGTGTATGTTGATTAAATGATAAAGTACGTGAGTTCATGCTATTATGTGTTGAGATTATGGAAGTCTGGGAGGAGTGATGTACTTTGCATGTGAGTGAGATCTAAATTATTACAAGTCAGGTTGGTAAGTTGTGATAGCTTTCAGTATGTTCACAATGATCCCTATCTATGGGTATTCATACCCTATGTAGACCCCTTCTGATGTGCCACCTTGAGAATGTGTGTGATGGTATATCACTTCCAAGATCGTTCCCTCTCTTGCTGTCTTGGATTATTTGCTCTTGAGATAAGTAGGTACTACATTGTAGGCAGCCCTGTGGAGAAAGGAATGAAACTGAAGGCTTTAGACACACAACTGAATGAGCCTTCTCAGAAGAAATCTCCCAGTCCCACACAAACCAGATCAAAGTAGCTCCGGTAAGTAACTTGATTGATTGCAACCTGTTAAGACTTGGGGCTAGAACTACATGATCCTCAGAAATTGAGATAATAATAGACATATATTGTCTTAAACTACTAAATTTGGAGTAATTTCTTAGATAGCAACAGAGAACTAACATACCACCTTATTACCATGAGGCTACATCTTTGAGGATAGCTAAGGGCAATGGTGAAAATAGAGCTTTAATTACATTACTGAAGTACTAAATAGCTTGGGAACTTGAGCCTTCCACAACTCATTATGTGAGTTATTAAATGTCTGCTACTTAAATTATTGTTAGGTGGACATTCTTTTACTTGAAGATAAAAATCGTAACTGATAAAAAAATTTTTTTATTTTTTTAAAGATTTGTTTATTCACACAGAACTGGGGTACAGGCCAGAGGTGTAGGGTCAGTGAGAGGATTCACCAGAGACAGAGTGGGGAGCAGAACAGGCAGATCAAGGAAGCACACTGGCAGCGGGAGCGGGTGGGTTAGAAGAGGTCTCAGCACCTTGTGAATCACCTCCGGGGAGGCGGGGATTGAACTCATGCAGAAATGGCTTTAGCTTCTTAGTGCTGTGCTTTAACCTGCTGTGCCACCAGGGAGGGCCCTAAAAATTGTTTTAATATACTTCTATATGTTGACTTGATCTTCATGTTTCTGATTTTTTTATAGCTGTGTCTAATTTATCATTTTATAGTTTTGGCTGTTTCCTTTTTCTTGGACTTGGAAACTGTTTCTGATATGTCTTTTTTTCTTTGTACTTTAAAGGTTTTTATTTATGCATACAAGAACTGGGATATAGGACAGAGGTGTGGGAGGTGAAAGATTCAACAGAGACAGAATGGGGAGCAAAACAGGCAGATCAAGTGAAATACACTGCTCCTCAATACACTGCTGAGGGGAACAGTGGGGGAGGTAGGAGAGGTCTGCTACACCATGTGGGCAACCTCCCTGGCCAGTGATGGAGCTTTTGCTGCAGGGGCTGTGGATAGCTTCATAGTGCTATGCTTTAAGCCCTTGTGCCACCAGGGAGGGCCTAGAGTTATTTCGATAAGAATATTTCCTAGGGATTTCCCTGGTGACGTACCACGTTAAAGCATAGCACTAAGAAACTAAAGCCACTTCAGCATAAGTTCGACCTCCAGCTCCAGAGATGACCCACATGGCATGGCAGACCTCTCCTGACCCGCCCGCAGCTCCCCTCAGCAGTGTACTTTGTCAATCTGCCTGTTCTGCTCCCCACTCTGTCTATGGT